TTTATAGAAAGCTTGTGGTTGGAGAGTTTTCTCCTCTTGAAAGTGGTGACCCACCCTTAGGAAAGGGGCAAAGAGTGTTGTATTTCTTCCATTGAAGGTTGGAGAACACTCTTTGCATGATTCTAGATGAGTTGGTGTTTAGAAATCCCACTTTCATTGAGTTTTATGAACATTTGCATTTCTAAGTTTTTCTATGAAATTGGGTCTTAAAATGAGCATGATTGAGGCTTAGGCCATGTTGGGGAAAGAGTTTACATGAGAATTTTAATGGTGAAAATGTATTTGAAAGATTATTTTACCCATCTTCATCAAATTTTGAAAATTAGGCGTAGATAGTATGAATTCTTACATTTCAAGTAATATGACTTGGATTGTTGATATTGATTGTGTTCAAGGTTCTTCTAGGTTGGAGGCAAGTGGACCAATCTTGATTGATCAAGAATTTGAGAAGCCAATGGAGCTTGATATTGGCACTTGAGTTATTTCAAGTGAAAGTGAGTTCATGACCATGAGTGGTGTATGGAATCCCTTATGTTAGTTGTGAATATATGTTGATATTCACATGGTTGCAATTGATGGTGTGTTGATGTTGATTGTAATTGTATCTTGTTAAGTAGGTGATTATTTAGCAAGTTATTGATTATTGCTTAAAGAGCAAGCTAGCGGTTGTGAAATTTTGGTGCTTGGATCAAGCAATGGGTAAGAGATTGCAAGGAAATTATCCAATGAACTCAACCCACACCTCCATTCCTCTTGAAATCCTCTAGATTTTGAGAAAAACCCTACCCATTCCCACGAAATTTTGAGGAGTTTGGTGTTCTTGAAGTTGTTTGCTTGAGCTATTGCTTGGGTATTACTTGGAGGAGTCTTAGGCTTGATTATTGGTAAATTTCACCACTTATTGCTGGATGAATTTTGAGATTGAATTTCATGACCTAAAGCTTGTGTTCTTGGATTGATGTACTTGGGAACCTCAAATTGAAATTGTGTATTAGATAAATATGTCTTAGAATGATGTTTTATGATGATTAAACTCAAAAGATTATTGGGGAAAATTGGTAACTTAGAGAAATTTTGGATGATGATCTTGAGACTTTGAAATTTGGATTGTTGTGTGATTGTGAAATTGAGTTTTGGATTTGATATAATGGTTAATTACATGGTGTGTGGTGCATTGGAGGTGTGAAAATCAATTGAAAATCCCTTGGTACCTTGAAGGTGAGATTTCGGCCTAGTAGGTGTAATTAGGGAAAGTTGGTTCAAAAATTATATAATTGAGTTTGTGATGATTTGAATCAAGTTTAAGTAGGTTGTGTGATTGTGTAATGTATATGAATTGGAAGCAAGATCATTGGATGTTCCATGGTGTTGTATTCGGCCATAAAGGGGAAATTGGGGAAAATGAGGTTGAGTTATGATTAAATGAAATTGAAGACTTGAATTGGTGTTGTGATAGGCTAAGGAAGCCTTAGGAATGTTCAAAAGAAATTAAAACCATGAAATGGGTAAAAAGGGCCTTATGGCCGAATTGGTGTATGTGTGGGGGGAAATGCATTATTTTGCATTTTGACTTGGTTTACAAGTGGATTGATCATCCTATGTGTGATTATTGTGGATTGCCTCCCATGGACGTGATTCTTGAGGGTTGAAGCTTGGTGGATTGCCTTTGGTCCTTGACCAAAAGAATTTTGGTAAGTATTGAGTCACTTTTGCTTCGTTGCTTGAATGACCAATTGAGTGGTCTTTATGGTACTTATGAACATGAGAATGACCTTTTGTGTAGGCATTTCTTAGTTGGAGCAAGTTACGAGGTAACTTGTATTTGAAGCTACCTAGCTTGGAAGCTTCAAGAAGGTAATCTCTTGGTATTGGGGTTAATTCTCATATGTGCTCCACCATGCCCATTGGGGTAGTGGTTGGAATTTGTTTGTGCAATAGTGTAAGGGGTTTGCATTTGTCATTTAACATGACACAACAAACTTTTCTACACACAACATTTTGTGGGGCCCACACTTTTTGAAGAAAAAAGAAAAAAAAAGAAATTATGACACGCAAAACGAATCTCTATAACATTACACAATCACTTTTCCTACAACATAACTCTTATAAAACCCATAGTGTAATTATAACATGTTCATGCATTTGTGAATGTTGGGTACACAGAGTTGTACCGTATCTCTGGACAGTAGATAGTTATCGTATGGCGTTGGGGACTTCCACTGGATAGGTCTCTGTAGGGAGTTCCAGTGGGCCTAGGGCCGCGAAGATGTTATCCGTTGAGGAGCACTCTAGGAATGTCTCGGGAGTTATGGTTGGGGGCGCCTTGGATGATGTTCCGGGAACACATTCTTGGATGAGAGCCCGTATGCTATATGCAAAGGCCGTTGGGCTGGATGAGTACATGGCTTTGGCTCAGACCATTCCTGCTCCATCATATGTCTTTCTCTTCTATCTCTCTAAATGCCTCTCTATATCCCCCCCTCTCTTGTTATCTTCCTATCTCTCTAAATCCCTCTCTATATCCCTATCTCTCTTTATCTCTATGTTGTTATAGTTCATTATTGCATTTTACATCTGAGTGAGCCATTTGGCGGAGTGGTCCTTCAGAACCTTTGGATTACTGAGATATATTCGTATATCCCATCCCGCGTTTTGGGGCTATATTTCAGGTGGTTGTAATGGCACATGAGTGTTGGGCAAGAGGCCTACAGGTTGAGGAGTAATTGATCATATGGAGAGCATGACATGATATGCCACTTTGCATTTTGGGTTGTATTTGATAGGCTAGACTTAGTGCATAAACATTTGGGTTGCATGAGTTATCTATTTCATGCTTTTGTTGTTCATGTAGTATTATTTTGGCTAAGTCTAGCATTTATGTAATTATTTGTATTTACATTTGGATAATTGTAATTGAAGCGTTATGGACCTTGTGTAAATTGTAAAGCATGTATGTGATGGAAGGACAATAGACCTATTTTAGGTTATGATTTTATATGTCAATTGTTAAGAATGCATGTAATGATGTAAATTATATGATTGTAATGATTTTTAAGTCTTAATGAAGTTAAGCAATGGATTGTAAAGTAATTATAATGATGTAAATTGTTATGGTTGTAAGAACACCAAGACATTGTTGGTCCTTGTGTGCCACCCTTGTCAATTAGGCACCATTTGATGCTTAGAACACACTTTTGATAAAGTGAGATATGTTAAATAAATAAAGGAGATGCTGTCAAAATTTATAATAAATAAGAAGTTTTTAGGCTAACTTCGGGAGAGCATATCACCCTCCATAGAGGTCTAATAGAGACGTGTCATATATAATTTTGAATCTTGAGATGTCAGTTATATTGTGCCAAAATTTGATACCATTTGAAGCTATGTAGCGTCTTGTAGGTCCGATTGAGTGAGGATACCCAAAGAGGCCCTGTGCAGGGGCTGTTCAGGTCTGTGACTTTGACAAATTTTTGCTCCTTCAATTCTTACTCAAATTAGGCGCATGATATATCAAATTAAAGCCCAAGGTGTCTAGTTTTCTGTATAAAAATTTGAAAGTAATTGGTTGAGTATATTATCCAAAATCACAGAAATGATGAGTGATGTTTGGTGCTATGTTTTGGGTTGGTTGGCAGTTTTGCTTGTGCAACTTCAATCGGTTATAACTAGAGCTATAGAACTCCAAATGAGGTGTGTGATACCTTCCCGTCAACTGTTCTATATTTTTTTTATTTTTTGATGATTGCATTTCAAGCACAGCTCGACATTTTTCGTGTTTGCTTCGATACCCTTGTGAGTTCGCATAAAGCCTAGAAACTTTTCAGCAGGGACCCCAAAAGTGCATTTTGCTGGATTTAACCTGATATGATGAGTTTGAAGCTTGTGAAAAGTTTGCTCCAAATCTTGCATATGTGCTCCAAGTTCTACTGATTTAACAGTCATATCGTTAATGTAGACTTCAACATTCTTGCCGAGTTGGTCCTCAAAAACTCGGTTCATCATCCTTTGATATGTCGCCCCGAAATTCTTCAATCCAAAGGGTATGACATTGTAGCTATAATTTTTTTTTTTCTGAAATAAAGACAATTTTCTCCTGGTCATTTAGGTGTAAATGAATCTGGCTGTATTTGGAGTAAGCATCCATAAATGATAACATTTGGAACCCGGATGAACTATCAACAAGTTGATATATATTTGACATTAGATAAGTGTGCTTTGGATACACCTTATTAAGATCGGTGTAATCCGTATAGAATCTACATTTTTCGCTGGGTTTCTTTACCATGACTATATTAGCCAGCCATGTGGTATATTGTATTTTCCTTATGAATTCAGCCTCCAACAGTTCCTTTACGTGTTCTTCTAATACCTACCATATTTCTGGTTCAAGCTTTCTCTTTTTCTGTGCAACCAATTTAGAACCGGGATAAAAAGATAATTTGTGATAGCAAGACTTTAGGTCTATCCGGGGTATTTCAGTCAACTTCCATGCGAATACATCTCTGTTGTTTCTTAAGCATTATATCAACCTCGTCTTCATTTTCGGTTCAAGCGCTTTGCTTATTTTGGCTGTTTGACTAGGTTTTTCGCTTAGAGGAATTTATTCTAATTCACCATATGGTTTTGGTATTGGCGTCACATTCTCTTCTCTCATATCAAGTTCAACCATGTTGACCGGCTTTCCCTGTTGGTGAGTTTTTGTTCTTCCCGCTGCTCTATCTCCAACTCGAATCTTGGGTGGGGAAGACAGTCCACCTTCAATATCCTTCACGAATTTGAAATAACATTCGCGTGATTCTTTTTTATCCCCATTGGTGGTGATCACTTTATCTCTATTGCTTTTCATCTTCAACTTTTGATATTTGGTAGATACGAGCATATCCTATTTGTGAATAGTTGGTCTCCCCAAAATTATGTTGTACATGTATGAAAAGTAGGCTACAACGAACCTTACCCTTTCCGACTTAAAAGACTCTCTTGTCCCCAAAATCAGTCTAAGGTCAATATATCCTTTTAGTGGGGTTTTTTTCTCCATTAAAGGCTATCAACATGGTTTTACATGGCTTCAAATCTTCTTCATCTACGTTCATTCTCTTGAATGCATCCCAGAGGAGAATGTCAGCACAACTACCAGGATCAACGAATATCTTCTTGACACAATAGTTTACCAAGGTATTGGTAATGATTAATCCATCTTCATGTCCCATCACAACATCTCTCAGCTTTTCTTTGGTGAAGTACAGGAGTGGGGGCTCTGGCTTGCTAGAATCTTCTTTAAATTTTTCCCGTTCTCGTACTGAGAGTACTTCTCTGAGGTATTTCCTTCTAACACTTGACGACTCTCCTCTACCGCCCAATGCTCTATTGATCACATTACACTCGAACTCAGACTCTAGGAATTCATTACTATTAGACTTTGCCTTTTTGCCCTTGTTATCTTCAGTCTGCTTCTTTCTCCTACCGGGCTGTTGTTTAAATTCCGACCCCACTTCTTTCTTTTGTTATTTTTCCAACCTTGTATCCTAATTAGGTAGTGGGGCAACTTGCCCTCATTGACATATTTTTCTATTACATCTCTCAAGTCCCAGCATTCATCAATAGTGTGTCCGGGTCCATCATGAAATGTGCAGTATCTTGGTCGATCTAACCCGTAGGCCTCTCCACTTTCTCCATTTCGGTTAATGCAACTTATTTCCATATTTGGGATCTTGGCATATTGAGTGGGGCGTAGTTTTCATACCTTTATCTCAGTGGTTATTAATTCGAGTTTCTCCCCCGAAACTCGGTTTGTCTTCTATTTTCGGGTTAATCTTTTCGTCCAGGGCTTCTTCTTCTTAGAATTCGTCCATCAGCCTCCTTTGCAGCAACATTAACTAACTCCATCTTCTCCAGCTCCAAGTATTTCTTGGATTGAGCTTCGAATTCCACTAATGACCTGATCGTGACTTTGTAAATGGATTTCACCAACCTGGATGATCCATATAACCCGGCCATAATCAGATGCACATGTACATTCTCCTGCAACCTTGGAACATCAAGTTTTGCGGCGTTAAAGCGATCCAGATATTTCTGAAGTGTTTCACCAGGTTGTTGCTTGATCATGCCTAAGGAAAATTCTGATCTCGGCTCCTTTTTACTCGTGGCAAAATTTAACAAAAATCTGCTGCCGAATTCTTCAAATGATTCGATTGAATTCGCTGGTAATGTTTAGAACCATGTTTGTACGACTCCCGTCAGAGTTGTTGCAAACAATCTTGTAATTAATGGTTTATCAATCCCTTTTATATACATGTCTGTATCAAATGCATAAATATGAACTTGTGGATCTTGGCTTCCATCATATTTCATCAACTCTGCTAGATTTAAATTTTCTGGGAAAGATGCTTCAACTATCTTATCCGTAAAAAGACTATTATTATATTTCCCCTCTATGATATTTTCTCCTGTATATGCCAACCTCAGTACGACCGACATGCGTCATGTTTTAAACTACATTTCTATTCCTGCCACCATCAAGTATATCCTGGTTATTCCTTTCATCCCGGGCTCCATCTACGTTCACACCCCAACTCATATTTTCTTGATTGGTTCGTCCTCTGACATGCATATTTGTGAGATGATCTCCATCTTGATGAGGCTCAACTCGTTGATTCGTGTCAACTCTTCTGCTTGGATCATCTCTGATTTGTCTAATAGTTGGTTTGAGGTTTCTCATATGAAGTAAACATTCCTCCAGATCTCGAATCCTTTGAGCATCTTGCTGCCTCTGAAGCTCGTTACCATGCTTTATCTCATACATTCGCTGTAAAACTGCATTCACAGCGGTCTGGGTTATATGCTGGTCTGCATCTCTGACTGGTGGGGATTGCACTGGACCGAGTTGTTGAATGTTCTGGATTGCAGTAGGCGTGGATACCAAATCTGTAACATCCCGTGTATACCCGGTTTGTTAACATGCCATCGTATTAAGCCACGCTTAATTAAAATGCGGAATATTATTTTTCTTTTCTATCATGACATCATTATCAATTACCAACTTGATTACTTAATCATTTCAAAACATCACTGTATGTAAATTGCAAATAAACAGCTAACTGAAATACCTCATAAATATATATGACATAAATGTGTCTCTAGCCACGGAACTACAACACGTAGACCGGACAAACCCTGATAGTTTATACAACTCAACAATAACATACTAATCATCAATGTGGCATAGACAAACCCCATGCTCACCAAATAAGGCAACAAAGCCCACAAAGAGTCTCAGCTCAATAATCATATAATGACAGAAAACATAAACAGAATCCAATATCCAGTCATGTCAGCATACAACATATATAAATCAACTAAGCTCCGACCTCCTTCAGCCAGAGGCATCAGCCCCCAAGTTACCTGAACCTGAAATAAGCGCCCCAAATGTAGGGTGAGATCTCTAAACAGAAATATCAGTAAGACATGGGGTCCTCAAGGATCTTCCACCCCAAGCTCACTTACATGTGCAATATAAGTTCTAAAAGCAATAATTCAATATCAGTTCCAAAACCAGTGCAATGCAACAGATAATCATGTCATGTGTGTTATAAATATTCTACTGATCAGAGAAGTGCAGGAATACGTCTATTACCCACACAGTACGCGCCCATGTTGTACCTGCCCACAGGATTACAACCCGTCTAAGCGAACACCACATACATATCATAAGGCATTTGCACTTAACACCTCAATAGCATTTCAATAAAACAATACATGAAAACACATCATGCATATAAATCATCCCCCCATGGGACATGGTGGAACAAAAAAAGGCTAAACGGAGGACATGAGAGCTTACCTTGCAAGCTAGCTATCCAAGCCAAGAGTCCACACAAGCTCAAAGTCCACACACAGCACAATCACAATCTGTACAAGCCCGTAATCACTTGATTCTGACTTAGTTTAATCATTACAGAAGTCCCACTTCATCAATCTAGGGTCCACAAACCCAAAACACAGTTCTGTATGAACAATGCAGCTACTGTTCTTCGAAAACCCAGAATATCCGGATATATGTCGGGGGCATATCCGAACAATATCCGGATATCTGTCTTGCAATATCCGGATATTCAGAACCCCATATCCGGATATCAATATCCGGATATCCATATCCGGATATTTATAACCCAATATCCGGATATTTCGCGGTAGAACTCAGATTCTGCATTTCACGAGATATCAATCCAAAGGTTCGACTTTTACCGATTACAGAAGCTTAAACATGCATTTTAAGGTGTGTTTAACCTTACCCAACCTTAAGTTATCAACTTTATCTTATTACATGCATCAAGACTTCATTTTTAACTATTAACTCATGATCAAAGGTTGGTGGAACTTACCAATAGCTCAAAACAGAGAAAGGAAAGCTCTTGGAGCTCACCACCAAGTCCCCACAGTTCTGACTTTGCAAGGAAACGAAAATGACAACAAAGCAAGGTCCTTTCTTCACAAAGATAGCTTCTTGGAGTACCAACCACCAAGAAAATGGCTTCAACCACACAAGCCAAGGAGCTCAGCTCTCTAACTCTCACAAGCAGTGGCTGAACACTCAGGAAAATGGTGCCTCTCAACCTCTCAAGACTAGTTCACAACATCTAAGGTGATTCAAAGAGGAGATTGGGAAGAGAATGGCCGCTTGGCTCACCAAATGGAGGGAGGAAGACAATGGAACAGTGGAGAAAGCTGGTCAGCACCAAGGGTCACATATAAAATGATTATGGCTTAGGGTTTTGGGCCAAAATGAGTATATATAGCCGATTTAAGTGTCAACACACTGTATTACCACTAATAGCTACGCTTAGCATTTTAATCCCAAATTTTGGATTCTGAACATACTCATTTTTCTAAGATTTATCATATTTTTATTTTATTTTATTTTTCGCAGCACCTTTCCGGTATACGATTTTTCATAGCCAGTATCAGTTCTGGCACCAGTTCTCATTATTTTAACTTGAAACTCGTTTTACAAGTCCTATATATTACTCTAGTGACATATACACACTTTTCATAATTTTCCGGGATACTTCATCGGTACGCATTTATACCGAGTAGCAGAACCGGTATCTGCACTTTTCGTCAGAAAAGCGACTTTCAGCATTATTAATCACTTACCAATATTATTTAAGCCTTATCATAATTATTAGGGTCAATTATGGAATTATTTTCTAATTTCACACAATTAATTAATTAACTTCCTTAATTAACGGTGCAGATTCTTACAAAAACCGAGATCACATCCTATTCATTGCTGATATTCAGTTCATTTGCATGTTGCTCCTTCAATACTAGGTTTGCTGGCAGTGGCAACCTAGCTGGTGGGAACGGTGGTTGCTGGTGGCTGCTTCTCGTATTTACCATGTTGGTTGTGGGAGTAGAAAAAATCTACTTTTTTCACAGATAGCGCCAATGTTTTGTTTGAGTGACAAAAGTGTCTAATCAAAGATTAGTGAATTGCTCTTTGATCTGGTGCTCTCTAAGATATCTATGAAAGAAATATCCTTAAGGTTGCAGATCACTGTGCACGAATATGAACGACATTTTCCAATGAGGTGGTGTGTGTGCACAATGACAACATAATAGTAAGAGAGAGATTAGATTTGTACCCGTAGATTTTACCTCTTTTTTATATAGTTTACCTATGGATAGCGTCGTTTTGGACCTTTGGTGGCTTATCTAAGAGCTGAAGTCCAATTACCTTGCTGTCTCCATAGGATCATTATTAATAAGAGATTCTCTTCCTTATTTGTATGATTCCTTTTATGCCGCCCTTTATTGGACTTCATATAATATTGGCCTTTCATAGACCAATAACAATGAGAAATCAACGCCTTAAAAAAATAAATTTTTTTATGAAAATTATAAATATAATTTAACAAATGTGAGTCATTAAATGAGTATCTGCACAACATGCAAATTTTTTATTTTTTATTTTTATTGTAGTGGATCCATATCCGGATTTGACTGATTTAAAATAGCAAAATTGCATTGAAAAAATTTGTGATCCTTCTTCGGAGCTAAAGTGAGGAAACATAAAAATAAAAATGAAGCATAACCAGGAAGAAAAAAAAAACTCTATGACCCCAACGTAGAAAGGCTAAAAAAAGAACAGAAAATGACAGAAGGTTTCCTCCAAATAATATGACTAAACAGTAATAACTAGATCGGTGTTTTTAGGTGAACAAATCATAATAATAATTTTTTTTTGGATACAATACAATCATCATAATAATTTTTAATAACATATTTGACTCGTTTATTTTTTTTTTCCAATCTCGGTGATGATTTTCTAACACGTCATGAAAGCAACGACTATGAACCTGAAATTTGCCGACTTTATGACCTAGGTCTCGCATTTCAACTATGATGCACACAACACAATGGACAATTGAAAGTCGAAACAATAGAAAAAGGAAGGTGGGGCTTTGCTGCCAATTGCCAAATGGTACCAAATAATTAAACGGGACTTGAATAATTCTGGAGAGATCTACTTAAAAAGGATGATCAATAATTGAGTAATGGATTTGAATTATACCCATAACCAAGAACAAGGAATATAGGTTGTTCTATTATGGCCACAATATTCATTGAATACTAAATCAAGTAATTGTTGATCAGTGTAAAGTTTAAAACTCAGTTTGCCATTATGATTTTACCATAATGTTTATTAAAAGCAAACAAGAAAAGTACGATTTCGTTTTCAAGTGTAAAAGTAGCCACATGCTAATAATAGTTCTGGGATCTTAAAATATAATTCTCCCCATCGTATGCAAACAATATTTACAGTTTACGTTATTGTTATGCAACTGCACGCGGTGACGCTTAGTTATTCCCTTCACATGCTACCGGCGTGCTCACTTAATGCGTTGCCCATTCCCTCCCTAAAATAGAGAGCGCAATCAACCAAGTACAGCACATATAAGCGCTTTGTCATTATTATTTGCCCAAATCTATTACATATACATCTCAGTATTCACTCTCTTCTCTTCTCTTTCTTATTTTAAATTCTGCTAAAAATTTACACTATTCACCAATAGATTGTGATGACTTCAACAATTCTCTAATCGCGGGACAAACTCAAAAAGTGGATAAGTCAGTCAAGATTCCTAAGGAAAATATATTTTCTATGTTGTACAAAATAAAATTATGTCATGCATATATAAAAAAGTTAATGAGCTATTTTTTTCTTTCTCTTTCTTTTCCTTAATAAATTTATTCATTTTTTTGTGTATGTATAAGATAATTTTGTCTAGTACAACATAAGAAATATATATTTCAAAAATCAATCTTCATCCTTTTTTTTCTTCAAAAAGCTATTGGGATTTATATCCCATGTTACAAGGATTTTTCCCCCCCTACAAATACAACAATAAGGAGTGAGAAAGTGAAATCAGAAGAAAGAAAAAAAAAAATTAATGGATCCCACATTTTACAATGTCTTCTTCTCCTTCTGCAAGATTATTTTTTTGAAAATATTTCAATTGATTCATTGTACGTATCATTCTAAGAAAACACAATATTTTTCCGCTCTCTCTCTCTTTTCACTTGGATCTCCTTGACATTAATCGATGCTCAAATTGTTAAAGAAATTAAAAAGCTTAAGAGTGAGGTTATAAAGGAGGCACGTACTTTTTTGAGTGTGACCGGCGGTCTACATGACTGACCTATTTTCCAACCACAGCCATCGCATCCGATAGATAAATTCGTAAATAAAAAGGAATGATGGAAGTTGATTAGAAAGAATTATTATAAAATTTTCTATACACCTTATCTCTATTTCTTTTTTCTTCTCTTGTATGTAAGTTTCATTTATAATTTTATTTTTATTATATAAAATAACTCTTTTCTAAAACTAAATCTAATTTTAAAATCAAATTAAATAATTATTGAACAAGTATTCAGTCCTTTACCAATTTTTTTAATAATAAACAAATCCTTGAACATATAATATTATTTTTCTTAAAAAAGTAAAAAGACCAGATATGTCTTCGTGCTTGTGCAGTTGCGCATATTTCAAAGGGGCATAATGGTCAAGACGGAACAAAGAAGTAGCGGAATGACACGTGGGCATGATGACGATGGGTTGACAAAAGGATAAAAACAGAGAGAATAGTAAACGGACGGCGTTGTAAGGTATGAGGAGAAGTCGTGTTTGGTTTGGTTCCCTCCTATTTCTGACATTCGAGTTCTGCAAAACATATCCTCATTTTTTTTCCTTATTTGTTTCTTCTTAAATTATTTATTATTAAATTGAACCTGAATTCCCCATTTTGCCCCCACCACCTCCATTGGGGTCTCTGTTTCATTCGTTCAAATCTCTCTCTCTCTCTCTCTCTCTCTGGTTAATACAAAACATTGAGTGTTTTGTTCATTCCTTACCTATAAATACATATTCACATCTCTGTCTCTCTGCAACCGACAATCTCTCTGTTTCTCTTCACCCATGCCTCATTCTTAAGGTATGTGAGCCTTCCCTTCTTCTTCTTCTTCTTCTTCTTCTTTTGGTTTCAAACAATTAATTTTTATGCCTCTTAATACAAACAAGGGGGAAAGATTATTTGGAGCAAAAAGAAAAGAACCCCATTATTTTCTCTGCCTTTATATTATATATTATTCGCTTTCTGTTCAATCGGATTCCTAATTTTTCTTTTTTGGGTGTGTGTGACATCGTTGGTTCTGCGTTTTTTGTTTTTGTTTTTTGTTAATTATTTCTGACTTAGTTTTTTAAGATTCAATGGGCATTTTGTGATTATCCCTGATAGGAGGGAAATAGAAGGGACCAAAGATGAAGAATTTTGACTTTTGCAAATAGTGGTTTGTGATTTGAGCTGATATTGGCTTCGTAACCATTATATATTTGCTATTTGAATAGTAAAACGCATTAATGTATTGTTACCATTTGTGTAACATACTCGGTTGCATTTCCTTTCTCTGTTTCTTATTCTTATAGCTTAGAATGACCTATAAATTATCTAAGAACGCGCGTTTTACTCTTCTTTTTGTCTGTGTATGTGTGTGTGGGGATCGCTTCCTCTTGCTTGGATCTGTTGTGTGTAGTATTTATTCTGTAGATCACGTGTTTGATATTGGTTCTCTTAGGATTTTTGGTACCAGAAAGAATTAATGATGCCGGGAATTGTTACAAATGGAGTTCGTGATGATGGAGGAGCTAATGAAATGAATGGGATCCATTCCCCCACTAAGGAAGCCTTAACTCCAATCAAGTCCCCGAGGACTTCCCTGAGTCCACAAAGACGCCAGAGTGTTGGTCCGAATTTCGCGGTTGATGGGGTGGTTGAGCCCTCAATTGAGCAACTTTATGAAAATGTATGTGATATGCAGAGTTCTGATCAGTCACCCTCAAGGAAAAGTTTTGGATCTGATGGTGATGAGTCTAGAATTGATTCGGAATTGCACCATCTAGTTGGAGGACGGATGAGGGAGGTGGAGATAATGGAAGAGGAAGTGGAGGTGGAAAAAGGGCCTGGAGTGTGTTCCAGTAGTGAAACATCTTCTGGAACGGGTAGTTTATCCAATGATAAGAAGTTGGATAAGGTGGATGAGATTGGAACTGCAACTTCAACTTCTGTTTCCTCAGAAAAACCTGTCAAAGCATCGAACTCAGAGTTGGTTCCTGTTACTTCACCTAAATCAAGACCCAAGGGAAAAAGTCCTCCTGCAAAACCTCCTATTGAGAGAAAGAATGATAAGCCTTTGACAAAACAAATTACAGGAGTTACTGGTGCAAAGAAATCAAAGAATTCTCCCTTGAGAAAGTCAGTTTCACAAAATCGAGTTGAGAATACGGCTGAATCAGCACTAGATAGACCAGAGCGGGCACCAATATTGCTAAAGCAAGCAAGAGATCTGATTTCGTCAGGAGATAATCCACATAAAGCTCTTGAGTCAGCTCTTGAAGCCATGAAACTGTTTGAGAAGTATGGAAATGGGAAACCGAGTTTGGAGCTGGTTATGTGTTTACATGTTACGGCAGCAATATATTGCAGCTTGGGTCAATACCACGAGGCAATTCCAATTCTTGAGCGCTCAATTGAGATTCCTGTTATCGGGGAAAGTCAACAGCATGCCCTTGCTAAATTTGCCGGTCACATGCAACTGGGAGACACCTATGCTATGCTGGGCCAGCTTGAGAATTCAATTATGTGCTACAACGCTGGGTTTGAAGTCCAGAGGCAGGTTTTGGGAGAAACAGACCCAAGAGTTGGTGAAACTTGTCGGTACGTGGCTGAAGCTAATGTTCAAGCTTTGCTATTTGATGATGCAGAGAGGCTTTGTCACATGGCTCTTGACATTCATAAAGCAAATAGTTCAGCCCCATCTATTGAAGAGGCAGCTGATAGGAGGCTCATGGGCCTTATATGTGAAACAAAGGGAAATCATGAAGCAGCTCTTGAGCATCTTGTTTTAGCCAGCATGGCAATGGTAGCAAATGGCCAGGAAGCTGAAGTGGCATCTGTTGACTGCAGCATTGGAGACACATACTTATCCTTGTCTCGATATGATGAGGCTGTCTTCGCATATCAGAAAGCTCTAACAGTTTTCAAGACCAGCAAAGGAGAGAATCATCCAGCAGTGGGATCAGTATTTGTACGTTTGGCTGACGTGTATAACAAGATAGGGAAGTTGAGGGAATCAAAATCATATTGCGAGAGTGCACATAGAATATATGAGAATCCAATGCCTGGAGTTCCTCCAGAGGAGATTGCTAGTGGTTTTACGAATATTTCAGCTATCTATGAGTCAATGAATGAGCTTGAACAGGCACTCAAGTTACTGCAGAGAGCACTAGAGATATATAATGATGCCCCTGGTCAACAAAGCACAATTGCAGGAATTGAAGCTCAGATGGGGGTCGTGTACTACATGTTGGGGAACTATAGTGAATCATACAACACTTTGAAGAATGCTACCTCAAAGCTTCGTGCTATTGGAGAGAAGAAATCATCCTTTTTTGGAATTGCTCTTAATCAAATGGGACTTGCCTGTGTGCAGCGTTTTGCCTTAAGTGAGGCTACAGAATTATTTGAAGAAGCAAGGAGTATTTTGGAACAGGAGTACGGACCGTATCACCCTGAAACGCTTGGGGTGTATAGTAATCTTGCTGGCACATACGATGCAATTGGCAGGTATCCACTTTTGGTGTTCCTTATCGGGTTATTCCCTGTTATATTTGCAAATATTTTTTCACTGTAAGAGCATTTGCAGTACTTTCAATTTACTGTGGTATTATGCGAAGCAGGCTAATAGTAGTAGGTTAAATTATATATTAATAGGCTGTTTAATCTATTCATGTCACTCATATGAATATAACTAATCTAGTAATGCCACTTATGTGAATATAATGACTGATTTTCACTGTGGCATTCATAGTAAAGAGTCAAGACTGCTAGGTTTGAGATTGCATTTACTTTCCCCTTGACCTTTCATAGCAACTTGAACAAAGATAAATTAAGAGAAGTTCATCTTCTCTGCAACAGAAAAAAAGGTCTGATTCACCTTCTTAGACCTTTGTAACTACTAATCTGGAAGAAAAAACAATTACCTATTAATGAGTGGGGAGATGGATGTTTATGGACAGGATATGGAATCTATTGCTTCTTTATGGGCTTTTTGACCCTTACAACCTTTTATTAATAATTAATTATCAAATTGACCTTCATTATAAACTATTTCAAAAATTTAACCTCCCCAAAAAACATAACACCAATCTGCCCCTGTTTGACCGTTGACCATCAAGTCTACCCGGGTACACCCCTTCCTACCCAGGTATTTTTTAAAATTTTATGCCTACCCGGATAGGGAGGGGTGTACTCGGGTATATTTCTTGAGATCTGAAAAATTACTTGAATTATTTACCCAGATAGGAAGGGGTGTACCCGGGTAAATCTGTCATAAACGGGATCATAAGTGCACATACTCTTAGCTCCACAAAGACCATGAACAGTACATGGTTGTGAAATAGCTTGCCATGATACCTCCCACATCTTGTGGTTCTCATTGAAGCTGTAGATACGCAAGTTGCCGTCAGAATCCATCGTGAGTCGTCTATACAATTTCATGCCATAATCGGTGGAAAAGATTTGGAACCCATCAGAGGATGTGAAATGGCCAAATGAATCTAGGACAGCGATTTTTGTTACATTGTAGGTGGATCTGCCTGCATCAACTGGAAGTTTCCACGGTTCTGGCCAGTACACGCTGGATAGTGTAGAACCTTTGAAAAGAAAGCGCAGAACAATATCGTTGCCAAAATAAAGTTTATAGAAACCAGAGGAATAGTTCGTTGTGCTTCTTGATGAAACCAAGCTTGCTTGCTCAGTAACTGCTTGGCCAAGAAGAATGGTGTCTGTGGGAGAGTCAAACCAAAATGGGGGCTGCTAGGTTATATAAAAATCCTACCATCGAGATTTACCGGGGTACACCCCTCCCTACCCGGATAAATAATTCAAGCAATTTTCCAGATCTCAAGAAATATATCCCCTACCTACCCGGGTAGACATAAAATTTCAAAAAATACCCGGATAGAGAGGGGTGTACCCGGGTAGGCTTGGTGGTCAACGGTCAAACAGGGGCAGATTGGTGTTATGTTTTTTGAGGAGGTTAAATTTTTGAAATAGTTTATAATAAAGATCAATTTGATAATTAATTATTAATAAAAGGTTATAAGGGTCAAAAAGCCCTTCTTTATGACTTAAGAGTTTTAGATTTTCTAAGATATGATATGGTTAGTTAGGCGTAGAAGTTCTTTTCTCCTTATGGGGTTTAATCTTCTCTTTCAGGCTGGATGATGCAATTCAAATTCTGGAGTACGTTGTTGATACGAGGGAGCAGAAGCTTGGGACAGCAAATCCTGACGTGGATGATGAGAAGAGAAGGTTAGGTGAGTTGTTGAAGGAAGCAGGTAGAGTTCGTAGCAGAAAAGCCACTTCACTTGAGAACCTTCTTGGTGGCAATGGTCGCACTGTAAACAACCTTGTCATGGAGGCCTGATAAGGATGTCTGTCTATGACTCCTGAAAAGCAACTCGATGCTTCTATGCTTTTACAAGAACTCAGAGGAGCAAGCTAAAAAGTAGAAGCGATGAAGATGTTCTCACACCGTTAATTTATAAAATTGAATGTTTCTAGTGTGTTAAAATTAATGGGGTTAAATTATTGATTGAAGAGTGTAATAATTTATGCTAAAATATTATTAAAAGTTGTATTATTTGTATCATATGATGTAAGTAATTATGATATACAGATACGTCCCTTTTTGTGTACTGCCCATATGGTTGCAATGGTTGACGAATACTTATGTTGGTTCTTCAACTTGAACTTTGATAATGATTGAAATGGATAACAAATTTTCTTTCATCCTCTCAGCAAAGAGTTGTGTGCTATTTTATTTTGTTTCTTAAAATTATGATTCAATTCTAAAGAACTGAGGCACTGCAAAATGTCATTAAATCATATAAACGTGTTTTATTTTATAAGTCAGAAAATAAAGAACATTTGGACAAATAAATTTGTATAACAAATTACTGTTAATCTATGATATCCTATAAAATAAAAGAAAAATGCAATTGAAAAAATGAATTAAGCTAGGACTGCTATCCACGATGTATATCAATTGCCACTTTGTTTTATTTTCTCCATATAAATAACTATTTCCTCACTGTTTCAGAAATATCCTTGTTTCTGCCTCTTGCTAAGATAACGTTGTTTGGAAGCTCAGGAGAATAATACAATTTAGGAGTTTGCATTCATTATTTAATATGATCACAAAAATTTCTTACACACACGATATTTTGTGGGACCCGCATATTTTGAAGAAACATAACTCTTATAAAACCCTACAATTTATCGACTTATAGAAATGAATTTTGAACGTGTTCCTCATTTCATCTCAAACAACCATTTCCATAGTGATTGTTCTCTCAGCTTGCATTTAGTCAACGTATGAAGTAGCATTTTCAATTGGCACATCATTATTTACCTCATGAATGACAACCCGTACTATCACATGAGAAGAGAGTTAGAAAACCGGGATGTAATTTTTTTACCTCATATACATGGATAGTTTCTATAATTACATTTTTATTTTTAAATATTTATTAGAATAATAAGCCATTAAAAATTGAATTCTAATTCATTTAGTCATAAAATTTCTTGTACTATATCATGAATTAACTCTTTCGCAAGCATAAACTATTAGGTATAGGTATGTGAATGATTTTTATATTTATATTTTTAATAGAAAGAATTGCAGGTGGCAAATGGAAAATCTAACTCGGTTAAAATTATTAGAGTTGTTATGGATCTACATAAGGCCCATATGCCTAAAAAGCCTAATAAAAGACAAACACTTGACAGTTATACAAGAAAACAACTGAGGTCAAGAAGTAAGGAGTCAAGATTGTTCAAATCCTAAGGTAAACTCTATAAATAAGAGGTAAAGACCACAAGTATGGACCAATCTCTCTCTTACTATTATGATGTCACTGTGCATACACACCACCCCATTGGCTAAAGCCTTATAGTTGTGTACGATGATCCTCAGGAGTTCTTCCTGTCCATTGCACTTTGACCATCAGAATGATTCTTGCTCCTCAGCTTCTTTTTGCCGCGATCGAGAATCTTGAGTGGTCCGATGGGAGTCTTTAGGTTCTCCTGAACCTTCACATCATCTGGTTGCACCACGTGCGAAGGATCCACAATATACTTCCAAAATTGAGACACGTGAAACACGTCGTGGATGTTGACCAAGTTCGGAGGCAAGGCAAGCCAGTAGGCAACAGGCCTACCCTACCAAGAATCTGGTATGGCCTTATGAATCTTGGGCTAAGCTTCCTCACTCCGAGGGCCCGACCAACACCGGTGACAGGTGAAAGTCTCACAAACACGTGCTCACCGTCGCTGAACTCCAGTGGACGATGCTTAACATTATAATAGCTCTTCTGGCGATTCTGCGCCTGCTTCAACTTCCCTCTAATCATCTGGATCTGCTGGGTGGTATCTTAGACAAAGTCCAAGCCAAATAACTCGCGATCTCCAACCTCAAACCAACAGGTAGGAGTCTGATACATCCTACCATACAACGCCTCGTAGGGTGTCATGCCCAGGCTAGTATGGAAACTGTTGTTGTACGAAAACTCAACCAATGGCAGGTACCTATCCCATGCTGAACGTTGCTCCAAAGTGCAAGCCCTCACACATGTCCTCCAATGTCTGGATGGTCCTCTCAGTCTGTCTGTCAGTCTGAGGGTGATAGGTTGTACTCAATCTCAACTGAGTACAAAAAGCTCCCTGCAGCGCCTCCCAGAACCGAGATGTGAATTTCAGGTCCCTATCACTGAAGATACTCTCGGTCTGGAAAGCACGGACACGCAAATTTTTTTGCGTGTCGGACACGTGTTCGACACGGACACGCGGTCCACATTTGGGGACACGCGGTCAACTCCCCGACACGTTTTTCGGACACGCAGTCAACTTCTTTCGACACGCGGTCAACACTCGAACACGTTTTTTTTTTTTTAAATCTTAATTTCATTTTGTTAACTAAATATAAAAGAAATAATTTATAAATTAATTTTTTTCTATTATGAAATTTGACATGAAAAATTAACAAAGTATGAGAAATTATTTATATTTATATTTATGTTATGAAATTTAAATATTTGATTGGTTATATGACTTATTATGAACTCCTATATGTACTAAATATAAATTATATTATATATATTAAAATTTTTATTTAATATCAAAACGTGTCCCAACGTGTCAAAATATGACATATTTTAGAATTAATGTGTCGGCGTGTCGTGTCGTGTCCCGTGTCTCGTGTCCTTGCATCATAGCTCTCGGGCACCCCGTGAAGCCTCATGATCTCGCAAACATAAAGTCTGGAAACTGCTCAGTAGTGAAGCTCACCTTCACCAGAAGAAAATGGACAGACTTCGTCAATTTGTCCACAATGACCCAGAGAGTCACAACCAGCCTAAGCCTTCAGCAATCCCACTACGAAGTCCATGGAAATGTTTTCCCACTTCCATTGTGGTACCTCAAGAGGTTGAAGCTTACCATACGGTTTCTGGTGTTCTATCTTCACCTTCTGACATATCAAACACTTGGCCACAAAAAAAGCTACGTCTTTCTTCATGCCCGACCACCAGAAGTTTCTCTTCAAGTCTTGATACATCTTTGTAGCACCAGGCTGAACAGTAAACTGGCCCTTATGAGCCTCTGTCATCACCTCCTCCATCAGAGTACCTCGAGGAATTACAATCCTCTTCTGAAAGGTCAACAAACCATCCTCGTTCCAAGACACACCGTCCTGGTTCTTCACATAATCAAGGCACTCTCTCTGCACTTGCGCCTCTTTGATCTTTTCCATAAGCTCATTCTCGACTCTCACAGTCTCCATCTCGAGAAGTGCACCCCCAAACAAAGAGGTCACTGTCAGATCTCGAAACTTCTCAATTATATCATAGTCATTCGATTCCCTGGGATCATTAGTCACTTCATCAATAGAGGTGGCCTGACCATACATTCTCTATTCCTCCCAATAACTTGGGTGAGTTTAGGTCCTATTATATGACTCTAACCGCAACTTGACTTACAATTTTATAAATCATTATTCTCAATATAAAATCGTATTCCTTTCATAGTACGAAATCATAATCATGTTCATTTCAATCAATACATGTTAGCTATCATGCTAATTCACATAGTAACGTACCTTAGTTCACGTACACCTGCAAAATTTTCAATTGCAATAACATAATAATTCATATACTCCATACAACATCATACCTCAATCTCCATGGCATCTGCAAAATCGAAAGTCAATAAAGGATGGTACAACGTCAATGTATTAACACAGTTCATGACATTTACTTCATGCTTAGTACTACTTGTGGTGTTCACATGCAACCTACATATGAAACAGATCACTAATTTCATGTTAACTTAGAATCATGGAGACCACTCAACCCACAAAACTAATTGTACATACACTCACCTCGTATATGTCAGATTGCGCGTGGCCTTGCCACAAAGTCCAAGTGTTACACACTTAACTCCTAAAAGAGAATTTCACATTCTCAACAAACCTGACTAGAGAGTGTCCCTCACTCACCAGCAATAAGATATCTTCTTTTACGTTTTTGAAGTAAAGCACCATCACGACATGTAATGGCATAAAGCATCTTACCTCTCATGCCAAACTAGGCATATCAGTCTTCGCATATTTTACTCATCCCACCACTTGGTGGTTGTAGAGTTTAAACTCATATTTCAAGTCTCTTAATGCATTATTATACCATGAGGCAAACTAAAATTGATTGATCAGTGCACCTCGTGCACCCGGATCACCCGATGAGTCAAACTTAAATTGGTGCCCTCATGGGACTTCCAAGAGTCAACATTCTTAGGATCTAATCCCCAAAGGGAAACCCATGACATATGTTATCGGCCAAGAAACTAGTAGGCATACCATTCTCTAGTGTACCTCGTACACAAGGACCACTCAATGAATTACACATCAACTGAGCGTCCAATCAAACTCCTCAGAGGCACCCTCTTCGGATACATCCCTTCCAGGGATAGTCCATAATACGCTGATGGCCAACAACCCACTCAATCAACCTAGTTCCTCAGGTCGTATTATCACACACTTCAATACAACATTCAACGTATAAACATAATTCATACATCATGTTATGCAATCACAATAATTCAACACAGAATTAAACATACAATTTCTCAACAACCAGTCCGTTCCCAAATGATCTCAACGTTGACCATAGGTCGACGATTAAGATCTGCCACGTAGTCTCGGCCATCCAACGAAAATACCATATCCAGATAACTAGATGAAGCATCACATTTCTTCCCCGTAGTGGTAATAACCCTCAGAGATAGAGAAAGCTCAAATATGGGAAAGTTCAGCCCCACAACAATCGGACTCGCAATATATAAGTGTGTCGTCCCTAAGTCAAACAATACATCACCAAGTATCTACAACACGAGTTATACCTCTCGCAAGGTGCGGAGCTCTGTCCGTCTGCTGACTATCCGACATATAAACTCGGTCAGTCTCTGGTGGTGCAGGAATCATCTGGGATGGTACCACAAGAGCAACCGCAGCACTAGCGACATGTGTAAAACAGTCTCTTGAGTAGTGGCCCTTCTTGCCACACTTGAAGCATATCAGCTCACCCGAAGCACAGCGTCCCAAATGCTCCTTCTTGCAACCTATACACTTCGGGATAGTCGAAGGTCTAACAAAGTTTTCTGCCTGAGT